TCATGTTGCACCAGGAAAATGAAACCGGCAGATTAAATGAAAAAAGAAAAAAAAAAGCCTGAAATATCTCTTGTTTTGCTTTGGATGTATAGTTTTACGCATGAAAACATATACAGAACGCATCCATAGGTCGATGGGTCTTATTCTCCCTTAGTAGGATTCAGACTGGAACATACGGAATGTGCGTAAAGAGCCGCTTATGCTGGACGCAAACTGCTCTGCCCAGCGGGCGCCGTCGCGTTTGCTGCCTGCGTTCCTCTCCAAGGATGATAAGGCGCATCGATGCACTCCGTCCCCGACCTCGTTCCTAAATGTGATAATTACAACATCATTTTTCTCTCCAACGAACCCTTAACCTGATCTGTTTTTTTTTTTATTTTTCATTTTCCCGGTTTCCCCCCTCTCTTTTTTTTTCCGCGCGTGTGAGAGTGGATTGTGTTCATCTTTAACCTGCCATCACTGTAGCCCCCCGCGTTGCGTTGGCGCTGCGGATCTAGCCTTACAAGAACAAGAGCCAGCTCACAGCCGTGGAAACAAGCGAATCAATTTAGTGGGGGAAAGAAGAGGAGGAAGGAAAGAGGAAGAAAAAAAAAAGAGGAGACAGATAGCGAGGTTGTGGGGGAGAAAAAAAAACGGACGATCGGATAAAAGGGGACGAGAAGGAGAGAAAACATCGACCTTAACGCCGCAGCCGCCGAAACATTAAGGTACGTGTGGGCTGTGTTGGTTTGTACAGGTGGAAGGGACTGAAATGGCCGGCGTAATTATTGCATTTGTTACCTAATCTGCATGGATGCCGGAATCGAAGGTGGCGAAAGGATTTTTAAAATGATGAAATGTTGCAAGGAATGCATAGCGGTTTAGGTTAATAATTCATTTGAGCAAAAAAAAAAAAAAAGATCCAGTCGATGCTGGTGGAATAAATCAGTGGGAGTCCTGCAAATGTATTAAAAATCCTCCATTTCTTTGCGTAAACCTGTGTTTTTTTCACAAGTGTCTTGCTGCTTCTTTTATTTTTTTTAATAAAAAAAAAACACAGAGCCTGTGGATTATTTTTGGGTGCAGTCATGTTGTCATTACCCTGAAGAGAGAATGGATGCAAGCCATTTTGTAATGCAGCATGTGCAGAATTAGGCCTATTCAGAATTTCAATTGCGCTCCCGAAGAAGGTGCGCCGTAGTGAGCGCAGCTGCATAGATGAATAAGGCCATTCTGTTCAATTGTAGGAGATATTATGCTGGAGGCTATATGATGAGGAGAGATTGCAGATTAGAAGGACTGCAGGAGGAAAATGGTCAATTTATTGCTCCTCTGCCTGTTTTTCACGACTTGATATCAGGGAGATGAGGGAATAAACTTGTCATCAGTTGGAAGTAAGAAGGGGGGGTGGGGAGGTGGTGGTGGGGGGGATATTTGGCACTGAACCTGAAACAGCGCACTGGTGGTTGCTGGTGAAATGCGTCCCATCCTTCTCCCTCCTCCTGATTCCCACGTCCTGAATCAATCTAGTGTTGTCATAGTTACAGTAGATGATGTTGGCCCTGCTGCACCTGTGCTGCTTTGTGTTCATCTACACCATCTGTAAATACATGAGCTTCTAATTGGGCCTTGTGTACAAGAAAACACAGTCCACAGCCTCGGTGTTTACAGAAAACAACGCCACGATTTCCTTTTTTTTCTCCCCCCTCTCTCTTTTGCCTCTTCATAAACCTTAATGACTCTGTTGTGGGAAGCAGGACGTTGATACAATCAGGCGCTTACGATGATGTGATTGGTTTGTAGCAATTGGTCAGCAGCTTGCAGCTAATTTGTCTTTTCACGACTGAGCGCTCTCTCGGGCCTGATCGAATAATCAATATCTACATGGTTGCAATCTGCTCTTGACATGAGCAAAAAAAAAAAAAAAAATTAATTAATTAAAAAAAGTCTGAGATCAAGAAGGAGAAATCGCTTGGAGTGAAACTGGTTAGAAAAACGCGATATGGGCCTGAGCCTGTCATATAGAAAAAAATAACATTATTTTGCACAAGGATGAGGATTGAAGGCCACAGAATTGGCCCTGAAGATGAGCCAAGGTGTGATGTTCTAAAAATAAAAAGACCATCATTGCTCCTGAGCTCTCATGTGGTGGAGAACTTGGAGATGGGAGGTCAAGTCAACAGGCGTCCCGCTTTTAAAAATCAAGGTCTTCTCCCTTAATGCAATTTTTACAGTGTACCGTCTCATCCCAGTGGCTTTCTTTTCACCTCAGTGGAGCTCAAATCCTTAAATGCACTTTGGAAAAAAAAATACTGCATTAATAAGTGCCAGTGGGTTTAATCTGATGGGAAATGCAGCTATACTTTAAAGAAACAAGTACAAAAGCTGTCTGAACGTTACTCATCCATGATGCAAAACAAACTCCACCATCACCTCCACTGATTCTTACAATCCCATATTTTGAAGGCAGCTCCATCCAAAATAAAACACATTTTCTATAAAAGAGGTTAAGCAGCACCATCCCTGTGTTTTTTTCAATGTGTATAAAACACTGGTATGATCAGTGCTTTGACCGGCTGAATATTAATGATGTTGTGTTTTGATGCTTCCATGAATCACTGCACTTATCAAACCACCGTTCTGGATCAGATACAATTCTGATGTCTAAGAGAGACATCGAAAGTTTTTTTTTCCTAAACTCAGCCAGATTTTCAAAGTGTACATTTATCTGCTGGATGTGGATGAGCAGGAGATTCTTCAGCAGTGTAAAGAACACCATAATGAGAAGTGCTGCAATAGAGCTGTACCCAAAACGTTTAGGTTTATGATTTGCATTTATACATTTATTCTCCAATCAGTGGTGGATGATGTGTTGTTTTTGTTCTCCCTGTGGCAGCTCTGTGTTAAGATGGTTGTAGATATGCATGTGTGTATCTGTGTGTTTGTCCAAAGAGAGAGAGAGTCTGTAAGATGTGCAGAGCATGTGAAAAAGTCTATTTTTAGCATACATTCCCTTATGAGCTTTCTTAATAGCGGCTTTAAGAGTTCTCAGAACTGTGTTTTTAATAAAGACCGACGGTGACCTAATCCTCAGACCTTGTAGATATTAAGATTCAAGGCCAATTTGTTCCCCCTCTTATGGTAGAAAAGGCCAGGGTTCAGCCGTGTGCTTCATGTGGTTTACCTGCATTCACGAGGATGTGGATTTTCAACGTTCAGTTCGTCTTTCTTTAGATAACCACTGACAGTCTGTTGATTTGATATCAGCCTTAATGACGAATGCAGTGATGGGAATAAACTTTAAGCTTTAAGTCAAATACACGTTGATTTCGACCACGAAGTTGTTTTGAACGGCAAATGTTCATCAAGCTCAGCTAAACACAGTAATGTGGAATAGGGCACTGGACAGTAAAAACACAAGATGGTGAGTGAGCAGGTTGCCACAGCAACCGTGTTTCTAGGAGCGCATGCATCGTCGCCGCATAGGAGAGGAGATGCTAAGGACTGCCATGCAGCCTTTTTTTTCTGAAAAAAAAAACAACAACTCCTGTTTATCGAGACATTAGAGACTAGAAAATACTTGCAAAATGTATTTAAGTGATTTTAGATAGAATAGAGATAATAGTAAGATTATCGTCGTATATATGTGACAGGAAACGAGGATCTCCTTATTTGTTATCAACAGACATCACAGGCTTGTGACTACTGCCGTCATACCGCCAAGCATAATGTGCTTGAGAAAACAATGAAGACTTTCTAATCATTATAAGGGAAAAAGCCAGAGCATTTCTAAATTTAGTGAGTCTGCTGATGCTTGCAGCCATTTCTGTTTCAGGATGTGTATGGCACTCGCTTCCCCAAAACAAGGCATAATACACATTTATGTATTAAAAAAACATGAAAGTGTTTTCTTGTGCCATCTTTTTTTTTTTCTTTGTTCACAATCTAGTTGTCATTTTCATGTCTGGTTCATCAACTTCAGTGGTTGGGGATCTTGTCTGATTGAGCGTTGCATATTGTACCCAGCATGTGCATTGCAGTAAAATGTCAGGAGTCAATAATCATTCCTTCATATCTTAATTGCTAAATTACTGCATGCAGGCATCATTTGTTGTCTCATTTGCAATGCTGTGCTGCTGCCTCGTGATGGATTGCACGAATCTCTGCATTAACCTTAGGTCCCGATGAATTCCACCAGCAGACACGAATGCGTCCAGCAACTTTGCGTTCTTTAAAATGCGAGATTCTTCCTCTGTCACTATGTATTTCACCAGAAGCGTGCCAGTGTCTTAAAGCAGATAATGAGAGTGTCATTCTAAAGGGTCCACTGCAGCACTTGTGACCCAGCTTGAGGTTTCACAATTTTGTGGCCATTTCAGACCATGACCCCGATGTTAACTTGAACCTATGAAGAAAATGGCAGCTGACTCACCCGTTATAATACAGGCCACAATTTGGGACACGTTTCTTCAGAAAGGAACGTCAGACTCAGCCCATTATGCACTCAGGACATTGTAATATTTTGAGATTTAAATTTAATCCTTTGAATATTTGCATGTGTGTGCTAGGCTAATATCTTAAAGCTACTGCACTGTGCACTTACTTGACCTCCTTCCTCTCTCTTCTTTTCTCTCTCTCCCCCTACAGTGAGACGCAACAGCCTCCACAGCGACAACACTTTCACAAGCCAGCCCTCCCCTAAATTTGATTCCTCCTCTTTAAAAAAATTGTCATGGGAACAAATGCACAGGGTTCCCTAAAATGACACGTTGAAAAAATATCAAGGTGTGCGAAAGTCAAGGAAGCATGAGCAAAGTAAAATAGGAATCTATTAATGATAAATAGAGTCTTTAATATAACATTACAGTTTTCTCTTTTTTAAATTTTTAAAGTGAGTGCTAGAAGGAGAAAAACAGAAAAAGAGCATTAAATATGAACATCAAGATAAGCACTTAAATTCCCTTGGCTGGAGGTAACTTATCAACATCATAGCAATAGGGGTGGGTCATGACTCAGTTGCCATGCGTGTTGTCATGGTGACCAGCCCCTGTACCCCTTTCCCCCTCCTCTGGTTGGTCCAGCTTCTGTTGTGGTTTCACAACCATGGACCTCAGCTGACAGAGGCAGCACCCCCCTGTCCCACCCCCTGTACCTGCTCCAATCAGGCGAGCCGTGTCATCTGTACGAGGAAGACTCTAGATCAAATCCCAGACAGTATTTCAGAGAACACAAGATACCTCAATCTACAAGAGAACTCTATTCAGGTAAATATGGTTTCATCTACAAACACATCATTCATTGGGACTGAGAATTTATTTTGATGGCATCAACTCACATGTTGCTACAATGTGCCTCCATGTTTTTGTCTCCACACCAGGTGATCAAGTCTGACACATTTAAGCATCTGCGACATTTGGAAATCCTCCAGCTCTCCAAGAACCACATCCGGCAGATTGAGGTGGGAGCTTTTAATGGTCTTCCCAACCTCAATACATTGGAGCTTTTTGACAACCGTCTCACAGTGGTACCATCCCAAGCCTTTGAGTACCTCAGCAAGCTAAGGGAACTATGGCTACGAAACAACCCCATCGAGACGCTGCCGGCGTTTGCCTTTCACCGTGTTCCCTCCTTGCGGCGTCTCGATCTCGGGGAACTCAGGAAGCTGGATTTCATCTCAGAGGCTGCCTTCGAAGGTCTGGTAAACTTGCGCTTCTTGAATCTTGGCATGTGTGGTTTGAAGGACATCCCTAACCTCACCCCGCTAGTGCGACTAGAGGAGTTGGAGCTGTCGGGGAACCAGCTGGGGATAGTCCGGCCTGGATCCTTCCAGGGTCTGGTGTCACTTCGCAAGCTGTGGTTAATGCACTCCAGAGTGTCAGTCATTGAACGCAATGCTTTTGACGACCTCAAAAACTTGGAGGAGCTCAACCTCTCCCACAATTCCCTTCATTCCCTGCCCCATGACCTCTTCACGCCTTTGCACCAGCTGGAGAGGGTACATCTCAACCACAATCCTTGGGTGTGCAACTGTGATGTTCTGTGGCTCAGCTGGTGGCTGAAAGAAACAGTCCCCAGCAATACCACATGTTGCGCTCGCTGCCATGCGCCTCCAGGTCTAAAGGGAAAGTACATTGGGGAGCTAGACCAGAGCCACTTTACCTGCTATGCCCCAGTGATTGTTGAGCCCCCCACTGACCTCAATGTCACTGAAGGAATGGCTGCTGAGCTGAAATGTCGTACTGGAACCTCAATGACCTCTGTGAACTGGTTCACTCCGAATGGCACTCTGATGACCCATGGATCGTACCGAGTTAGGATCTCAGTGCTCCACGACGGAACGCTGAACTTCACAAATGTGACCGTGCAAGACACTGGGCAGTATACTTGCATGGTAACCAACTCTGCTGGAAACACCACCGCAACCGCCGTGCTCAATGTGTCTGCTTCAGACCCCAGCAACAGCTACAGCTATTTTACCACTGTCACTGTGGAAACAGTAGAGACAGTAAGAGGAGAGGAGGAGAACTCTGCAAGACAGTATATAAATGAGACCTTCATAGATTTCCCTAATCCTACTGTTCAAAGAGGGTTAGATGGACGACCTGGCATCACTATATCGCCTTCTCTCTCTTCTCTGTCCTCGCTGTCCCCAAGAGCCAACAAAGCCACTGAAAATGCAGTGACTGTGTCCATAATAGATGTAACTAACATTCCAGGCTTGGATGATGTAATGAAAACAACTAAGATCATCATTGGTTGCTTTGTAGCCATTACTTTTATGGCAGCTGTAATGTTGGTGGTCTTCTATAAACTCCGTAAGCAGCACCAGCTACACAAGCACCACGGCCCAGCCAGAGCCATTGAAATTGTCAACGTAGAAGATGAGATCGGAGCCGGGGCAGGAAGTGGCATCTCAGGTGGTTCAACAATGAATTCTGGCACTGGTGGAGAAGGAACCCTAAGGATACATCATCCAGAAATAGTCAACCTGCCCAACATTGGCCGTACAGATACTCTTAACCATTACTACAAGACACATCATTTCAACAACAACGTGATGGGTCTTAGTATTGGCACCGAAGGGATGGGACCAGGAGGGATCCTCAACAGCAAGAATCAGCAAGGCCTGGATATCCCCATCTCCTGTACCTCAGTCCCAATCTCTACATCTAATTTGCTCTCTTCATCAGGCAATGGCACCAACACCAACCCCAGTTCCATGTCCCCACCACTGCCGATGTCACTCCCCATGCCTACCATGGGCTTACATGGATCGATCAAGGGTTTCATGGGCCAAAACCAGAATCCCCAAATGGAGCCTCTTCTGTTCAAGGGGAGTTCGAAGGAAAACGTCCAAGAGACTCAGATCTAAAAACAAAAAAGTGAGAGTATAGAGAGAGAGTGAGCAAGAGTCGAAGACAGAGAGGGGATTGATGTTGGGTTTATGTGCGGAATGAGACACTAGAGTGCATTGACATTACACCAGGAGAGAGGATAGACTGACACGGCAATACACAAACACATAGACTTATCTGTGACAGTGTACTGAGCCAAGGATTACCACAATGGCCCACTTGTGTTTGTAGTAACGATCATGGCCATGGAGATCAAGGAATGGACATTGCTACAATGTAAATCTGTGCCAAAGCAAATGTTTTTTGCAGTTTCTACAAGCTGTGTTCTCATAGGAAAAAAAAAACTAGCCTTTCAGAGTAATCAGTCCCCAAATCGTTGTTGGCCAGCAGAGTTGAAAGACATGCACAGCACTTACCACACTGAAGATCAGAGATATTGCAGAATAAAATCCAAGAGACATTTTTCTTCCACAAAAAACATGAGCCACACTCTCTCTCAAGTGACTCAATAGACTCCCTCAAGGTGAAAATTATGTAGGCATAAATAGATGGACAAAAAGGTACAGTGCAGTACAAACTACTGTGAAAAATCCACAAATTATATAAATATATTTTCATCTAAATATGTATCATTGCAGACTCCGATGCAGACATATTTTGGGGTGGATGTATAAGCTGGTATAGTTTGTTTCTTTGTGAATAATCAGGGGCGGTGATAGTGGAGGTTTGTTATGATACGTTTTCAGTTCGGCTACTTCTCAGAAACATAAGGGCTCAATTGCAACACTCATTGTGAATCTTTGAATTGGCTTTGTGACATAAAGTCCATTTAGGTTGTAGAACAGTAAATGCAGATCTCTGTTTGACAAACTTTTGTCTGTTGTTTCAGTAATAATCATTACAAACTTTTGTGTTCTGAGAGTGTATTATGTATTTTGTAAAAGCCAGCTACTTGGTATTTGAATTGACAATTCTGATACTTAAATGCCAGCATCCAACAATGGTAAAACAATGTTTCACAAACACAAAAAGGTAATCCAATGCAAAGACCTGTATGGGTAAAATAAAGTGTTGACAATGTGTTATTTGAATCAGATCAGTAGCCAGATATTTGCTTTTAGACAGGAATTTGATATGACCTCCTTGCTCATGGTTACCATAATCATGCCATAAAATGCTGTCATAAGGATGATTAGACATCTCTCTGCAGCAGCATTCAAGAAGGGATTAAACATCCATCTTAGGATGATTGGAATGAATGGAAATGTACAGTATATTAATAATAATAATGTCTGGTTGTATGACAATTGTAAGATCCACATTTTTACAGTGTAACTTTCATATGTTAAATGCCATTTACGCTTCTTGCGTTTCAACTATGTATTTCTTTATTTTTGTTAGTTTGATATAATGTGTACAGTTGTCTAGCCATGTATCATTACGTGTGAAATAAATCAATCATATATTGGGTTGTGGCGGGTCAATATGGCAACCACACAAGTAAAGAGTGAGACATTATGCAGTTCTCGGTGCCAAACCTGGATTGAATGTATGGTTTGTGGTTTAGCCATTAGTCATCCTGGTAATGATAGGGGCCGCCTGCTCTGTTAAGATGCTCAGACAGGCTTTTAGTCACTCTCCTATAGACGGGCCACAGACACGACTAGTCTTGAAAAATTACCGTAATCTGTCGGAAATTAGTCAGTCTGCTTCTCCCATAGTATTCTTTTGCTCAAGTGTTGAATCAGGAGCTTATGTTTAAACATACTGACTGAATCAACTACATTTCTTTGACTATATTTATCAAACAGGAGCCTAAAATGTTTGTTGCAATTGAGCACAAACTGGACATGTGACCAGTTATTCCAGAGAAATCATGTTTGACTGTAATGCAGCTCTGTGTTTGATTTTGCTGGGTTTTGTCTTTTTTATTTTACCCCTCCCCTCCCTTCAGACCTCATGTTTTTTTTAGCTGCGTATGTCATTCAAAAGCATATATGAGGTATTTTATGTGCACAATGAAGGTTCTTTGTTGTCAGCAATGAGCCCATACTTACTGGAAGAAGTTATGAGACGGATTAGTAATAATGATGATGATAATATATGTGACAAACCTATGAAAGGAACATCTTCTACATCAATTCACACCGTGTTTGCCCTGTGTAAGGCTAAACATCTAAGCCATATTTAGAGGAAAAGAAAAATGTCTGGCTATATCAGCAGTAGCACATGCAAACAGATTGATCAAATAACTCAGGTTGTCTAAATAGCAGCCATGTATTTTCTGAACTTGCTCTTAGTGCTTTTGGCCATGAAAACCGTAGTAAATGTAAATGTGCCACCCAACCAACAGATCTAGTGCGCAGGGTTCATCTGTAGCCCCACAGAGACACAAATAGAATATAAATGAAGGCTAAAGACACAACATATGGCCGCTCCCTTGATGTGCTACATTTGGTGGTTCTGTCGTCAGATTTCAAAGAGCATACCAGATACCTCCTTGTGTGCTGTGTTTGAGGGTACATTACCGCTAACCACGGAACAAATCTCCTTACCTGAACATTACCACAGCAACGTTTTATTATTATGACGGTGACTCACCTAATCAGCACAGAAATGTTCCTTTCATACCTCTGAACATCGGCAAAACGCAACATGCGCCGTTATCATCATTATTATTAACATTTGGAGGAAATGCAGAAGGGCTTTGTTGCATCTTAGTATAGTGACTGCCATTGTACATATTGAAAAGGAAGCTCATTCTAGCGATGTTGAGACACACATGACCCCTTTTAATGAAGATCACAAGTTCGAGACTGGAATCCGAATATGTACATATGGGGCTACTGTACCTCAGTTTGGCTACAGATGGAGTACTGACATATGTGTATCCTCTGCACCACCCGTCGCTTACAATGGATGCTTCAGTCCAGATGACATTTCTTGGTTTGCTGGAAGCAAAACTCCTTAATGAAATGGATTATGGTATCTGAGACACCAAATTGCAAGACAAGAAAATGGACTGACCTTTTGGTCCTTTAAAGGTAAGCTGCTCTGTTTGATAAAAACAATATAAAAACAACCTGGTCTGCTTTGAAAGATTTTTAAAAAAGGCGAGAGAACAGTGTTAAGCACTAGAACAGTTTAGATTTCTTTAACACAAAAAAATATATATAAAAACAATGTCATTTTGTGTTTTTCTTTCCTTTTTTCTAAAAAAAAAAATTCCAGTTGTTGGTTGTATCTTAGTATGTGGTATTATCAGTTTGGGTCTTTATGGATTGTCATTAAATGTCATTTTCCCCCCACACATTCATCCAGGTACACAGTGTGGCAGAGGAGTGTATTTCTTCAGTTATAGCAAAATCAACACGTGCTGTACTTGCACTTCAATGACTGTCATACAGTGACTGAGAGGTATATTATTTCACTGTTTGCTACTTGTGTGACTTCAATTTTCCGCTCGCTGTAAGGAGTTATTCTGCTATTAGAAAACATATACCACTTTCATTCTTTGTTGTGATTTTATGCTGCAGAACACACACGACTAACTAAATAAGAAATGAGTTAACCGGGTCAAAATGATGAATGGTGTTTCAAATAAGTTATTGCGTGAAATTTTATAATACAAAAAAAAAAAGAAGAAAAAAAATGTCTGAACAATAACTGTTTACACTGTAATTTTTTTCTTTTCTTTCTTTTTACATTTAATTCAGGAGACAGGAAACACTTTGAACAGAAGGTTACGGGTGGAAACAACGCACAATTATATTGTAACAGTTATGTAAAGGTAAATGCAATGTTACCGCATTACAGCGAATGTAGCTATAAATAAAGTGCCAGCTGGCTGACAAACTGTCAAACAGTCACACAATTAGCAGAAGATGTAAACACATAAAGCAGATTTTTCTCATTTTCTCTTTTTCTGAACTGTAAATATAATTATGACAAAAATGATTAACTGCCTTTATTAAAGGACAACATAAACTTCTAAAAGTATATTATATTGCCAGGGGTGGGCTCATAATTTTCTTGGAATAAAAACATCTCACTGATCTATTAGTCTTTGGTGATTGAAATCTTAAGAAACTAATTAGCTGACCAATTGATTAAGAGGGGTTGCTGTAGGAGTACTGCCACATTATTCTAGCAAATTCAACAAAACACCGATACATCCTGTAATCACTACGGCGTGGCAACCGCCTTAATAAATCAAACAGTCCGTCACGTTGCATTAGCGTAATTGTACATTTACCTGCACTGCCATTTTTTCTTATTAATATAAGTTATCAATTTGCAAATGTGACAAACAGCTCAAATAAAAAGGAAATCAAACAAACAAATCCTTCATATGATTAGTTCGACATTTTCCATGCAAAAGCCACTCAATGTATTCGGGTTTCACTGCAGACATCTCCAGATGAAGCAAACTAACTGCTACATTCACGCTGGCAAAGAATGTGCAAGACACTGGAGCGTCTTCAATGCTTCATTACCACTACTTCTTTTCTTTGAAAGGGGCTGATGAAACAGAGCCTGATTCCTTTGCTTCACTGTGTTGTATTCTGTTCTTCAGTTCATCTGCACGCTCCAGATTTTTATATTTTTAAGCTTATTTTAAACCCTGAGGTGGGATAAAACTGTAGATACTATCACAGATGTCCACTGCACAGTACAAGCCGAGCCCACGTTACGAAACAACAACTTCAAGGGATTCTTGTACAAAGAATTGCATCAGCCGTGAACCACAGTGGTGCATTTGAATATGTTTAGATAAAATATTTGGGCATTACAGCAGGGGCACTATGAGAAGGAATTTTCTTGAATGTAATTGTCCTTGGCTTGTACTCCGGTCTCCTGAGACCTCAGTCCCAGAGAGACATAATGTTAAAGGCCTGTGCATTGAAATAGAAGAGACAGCTCCAGTATATCGTAGTATTTCTGAAAACTGTAACCTAAAGTAAAGATATCACACCCACTGTTCTGTAACACGCTGAGGTGGTGCATTTGGAAGCAC